GCCGATTGTATGATTTATAAGAAAATTTGACGATGGTTCATAATATTTCGCTTGCCCAAACATTATAAAGTTACTGAACAGTTTTGCATCAGATCCTAACCAGATTCAATGTCTACTGTATTACCTATATTTTTCAATAAATTGATTCGATAAGATCAAATGTATTTTCCAACACTAGCCTATGTACTTTCAGATCTTATGGCTGATATAGAACTTGATGTTGTTGTTATACCTGATGAAGGGACTACCACCGAACCAACTGCTTTAGCAATTGACGAGGAATCTTTTAAAAGCAGGCTATATTCATTTCTGTGGGAGAGAAAAAAAGCTATTGTGTTCAGGTTGCTAGCTATGGTTGCAATAGGATTTGATATCTATTCAGTTTGGAAGAAATATTCTCGAGGTCATTATAAATGGGTCATTATTGCTGTTACTTTTTTGCTGATGAATCCTCTTATTGGATCGATTTACTCACTGTGTTGTGAAGTGCTTGAAAAAGGTAGCTGTGAGAGCCCATTGAGTTCAAAGAAAGAAAAGAAGTCTCGGGATGAAATTAAAGACTACACAAAATTGGCAGCATCTGATTCAGTTCAAGGGTTTAATGATGTAGTCATGAGTTTAGATTACGAATCGGATTCAAGCACTGAAGGAACCATTCCTGAAAAGCCAAAGCCATCAAAGGCAAAGAAAAAGAAAGTTGCCCTCAGATTTGATGATACACCACCAAATAAAGCTCCATCTAAGCAAAGGAAAATAAAGAAAGGGACTTATGTGGAGCCAGGAATCATGGATCCTAAAATGGAGGGAGACGAAGATTATTCAGAACCAGTATCAAAAGCATCTAGTGTATCAAGATTATCACCTAAAAAGTTCCTTTTGGGAGTCAAAGAACACTGCTCTTGGGGAATGGTCTTATCTCATATTTTCCTCTTCCCCAAAGAGTATAAATTTTATTATGTATCAAAGATACTTTGGAGATATTACAAAGAACCATTCAATAAAGAAGCAACATCACACATTAAAAATGCCTCCGTAAAAGAGGTATCATTTAAACCTTTGTGGAATGAGTATATCTACCGAGAAATAATTTCTAAACAGCTGTCTCTTCTCATGGCAGTTGCTCAGACAATACCAGTGACTTTTATAGAACTTCTCTACTGGTCTATGGAATCTCAAACGATTGCAAAATATAATACAGATTCTGATACTTCTTTTTTTAATGTGAAAAGTTTTCACGGTGAGCAATTCAACATTTTTGAGCTTGCCTCTCTCATGATTAATATGATCAATATATCATATAGGGTGGTATCTTTGATGAATCAAACCAGAAAACTAAACTTCTCCAAAGAGGATCTGGGGTTATTTCACAAAATCTATCTCACAATAATCTACTTCTTCTTGCTAACATCCAGGATTATCAGCCTTTATTTTGTTATGTGTCTCACTCAAAATGGAATTGTTTTCACAATATCAATCCTTTGTGTGCAATTCTCAATTACATACCTAGTCACCAAGGATCTATATGCGGAAGGAAACCAGGTAACAATGGTAATGTCCAACCTGTTGATGCTGTTTCTTTATGTGCCACCAAAGTTTGGAAGAAGAATTACCATGTTCAGTTATCATGTTATCATTCTTGTTGAGATGATTGCCATGCTTGTTTTTGGTTGTTATCAGCTGCCTACATCCACTGATCTTAATCCAAGTCCAACTATTTCTGTAGTTGGTCAAGATGTACCACCTTATACCTTCTATTGGTTCTATGCTTCTTCTCTGGTTATGTTTATTGTTGTGTGGTTTTTGAACTCTGAACGTGTTTCAAAGTGCCTCTTCAAGTATCGTGAGAAGATGGATAGAGGCCAGATAAGGGAGGTGCTTCGAGAGGCAAATTCCACATTTGGGACTGATTATCAAATCATCGTTGGATACTTCGGTCAAGACAAATCATCCTTTTCCGCTCAACAAACAATTCATCTATTTTAAGTGAACAATTTAAAGAGCTATGATAGTTGATTATTATATGTTTTAACTTGTAATTGAGTAACTAACACCTTAAATTGTATGATTTGATCTGGCTTAGTTGCAAATTATGCTTATTTATGGCATGGTAGCTGATTTATTCCTGATGATAATTATAACCTTTTGGGATTCAAAATAATTTTAGCAGTATTTTATTTAAAAACTGTTAAATTTTTAGATTTTTATCTTATATTTTTATTCAAACATTTGTGGATTTTTTCTATGTTAGAGATTTGTGAAATTGCCCAATTGGCTGCCTTTTTTTCATTTTTGCTGTTAAAATATTTGAATATCGTTCAAGTTGCTCGTAGTGCATGATCTGATGTAGCTTACAGTACTATTTCTCGAGTGATTCGGAAATTATACTGTTATGTATACTATTATTATATGTGTGCTATGCTCATTTGAATAACTGCTTACAAAATTGCATTCGTAATTCGAGTACAAATTGAATTTCAATTCGAAAATAGATTCTCATCTGTTTTAATAAATACTAATTGTGTTGAGTGGAATATCTGACCGGGATCTGACCTATTACTTTTTCACATTACAAGTAATGTTATTGACACTTTTCATCACCAATTGTAATTGTAATCATCAGCTAACATTCTTATTGTTAACTAGTAACTATGGTATGATGCAGATGGTGGCATCGAATTATGAGTCGATACCAAGTGACAACCATAATGCAACTGATTTAAAGAGAACTCCTAAGCTTGTCAATTTAAATCTATGCAGGAGAGTCTGGATTTTTGTGCTGGAGAGGAAGTGGGCTATCATATTCAGAATACTTGGATTTGTTGCCCTTTATTTTGACGTTTACTCCATCACCAAGAAATTTCGGAGGGGGCATTATGGATGGGCTGTGTCTTCAGTGCTACTACTCATTCTTACTCGTATCATTGGTTCTTTTTACTCTCTGTATTGTGAGGTTATAGAAAAACGTAGCCTTGGCCGTGAAGAGGAAACTGTAGAAATGTTACATACAGGAGCTGAAGGTGGTTTTGCTGGTGATGAGCATCTGGAACAGCTATCAGAATCAGATGACGGTCAAGACCTGGAAACAGATGATGTTCACGAACCTGAGTTGCATACTTCACATCAGTCTGCTAATATTTCTAAATCGGATGGAATAGAAGAAAATGCAGAAATGAAGGAACAGAGTAGTAAGAAATCCGGAATAACTTTTCTCCCGACTGTGATTCGGAAATCTTTTAAAAGGAAGAAACCTGAAAGTCAGCTTGAATCGACACCCTCATACCGTGGTTCATATCATGGTTCTTACATGGAGCCTAGATTTAAGAGGCAACAGGATTTACCTTGGAAAGAATTTGTCACTGGAGTTAGTCAACATTGTACACTAAGCATGAAATTATCACATTTTTTCCCGATACCCTTCCCTCAAGAATATCAATTTTGCAGAACATCCCACATTTTATGGACCCATTATGCAGAAGAATATTGTAAGAATGCCTGTAAGATGATTAAAAAGGCTGGTGTCCAAGAAGCTTGTTTCCGGCCTTTTCTACTGAAATATACCCAATGGAAAGTAATTTCAAAACAAATATCGTTGATCATGGCCACGGTTCAGACTATCCCTATGATATTGATCGAGCTATTGTATTGGACAGTGTTGTCAGAAGAGATATTTAAAGGCAGCAAGTTCTTGTTTTTTGATTTGTCAAGCTATGGGGGAAATCGATTCAACATATTTGAACTTGCATCATTGGTTATCAATATCGTGAACATTTCGTACAGGCTTGTTTCCCTTACAGGACAAATGAGGAAACTCAACTTCTTAAAACAAAATATGAAAACGGTGCACAAAGTCTACTTAACAATGATTTACTCTTTTTTACTTCTATCTAGAATACTGAGCATATATTTGGTAATGTGTCTCAATGGAAATGGCACTGTTTTTGCTCTGTTTGTTTTGTTAAACCAGTTTGTTATTGTCTGCGTTATCTCATTTAACTTTACAGAAAATGAGGAAAGCGATAACCCTGTTGCTGAAGACAACAAACTGAGCACTTTGCTCTCAAACTTATTCATGGTGTTTCTTTACCTGCCACCTGAAAAAGGGAAGCGAATATCCATGTTTGGTTACTATATTATAATGGGCTTTGAAATGTTGGCAATGTTTGGTTTTGGATGCTTTCAATTAAATACTGACTCTAATTTGGAAGATACAATCACCATTGTTGGGCATGAACTAGCTGCGAGTCATTTTTACATGATTTATGGAGGAACTTTTGTTATTTTCATTGGATGCTGGATCCTTGGCTCAGAGCGAGTTTCAAAACGCATGTTTCTTTATAAGAAAGAACTTACATGGCAATACATTCAAACTGAAATATATAATGCCAACTCTAAGTATTTTACTAGTTATAAAATTGATGTGATTGTCATGACAGGACATTCCATTATAATTTGATAATTATTCTATAATATTATTTTTAGAATTGTTCCGTAGTTAAACATTATATCTGTGACGTGTTGTAGCTTTATTAATTAAGTCAGTCTACTGATAAAGTACACATGATTAATGCTTATTGATGAATCGATCGACAGTAAATTTTTTATTATTGATTATATTATTAGTGATATTATTACTGATTTTAAACTTTTTAAATTAAAGGAACCTTTATCTTTTTATAACTTTTTAATTTTTAGCACAATATCAATATTTTAACTCTTATCACTTTTTATTCTGTATTGAAAGTTTTGTTAATTTATAAGTCTTATTATACAGTATATCAGATTGATCAGTTTTAATTGAATTTGATAATTTTGTATACTAAATTAATTAAGGATGTCAACTGTGAATAGTAAATAGTACTATGTTTATAACTGTCTGGCTCTTTACATCAAAGAAGATCAGTCACTCCGTTTGTCTGATTTACTATTCCCAAGAAATAAAAGGATTATATTGATGATGTGTGCCACACTGGTATACGATAATATTTCACGTTATCGACAATTTTGATTAGATTAGGCAAATTAAGTGCCTAACAAGGCGATTAATTATTCAACAATTTAGTAGGATCCAGTATCAAGATGCAGAAGAAACCATGGGCGAAGAAAGAGATCCGGCAGCAGAACATCAAGAAGTTGCGGCAAGCGCTGCAGAACTGCGGCAAGGCAGAGAGTGAGAGCGTGGAGGAGTTTGAGCAGCAGATCCTGGACAAGAGCCGGTCTATGGAGGAGTACTTACAGAATGTAGCCAAGGTGGGCAAATTAGTAGATCACGTGCTGTTTTGATAGTCACGTGATTCTTTGTACTGTCACATGATTCTCTGTACTGTCACGTGCTGCTTTTAACGCAACATGGCTTGGCTGGCATGTTCTTTCACTGCCAGATTTCATATAGCAAATCTTCACTTAGCGTAAATAGTAACCCGTCAACTTATAAATATATTGAAACTAGATAATGAATTAATGGTATGTAAAGGTTAGAGGGGTCCAGGGCCGTGCGGTCGAAAATGAACATCAGATCATTTAGCTCTGACTATTGCATCCTCAGTTGACTTGGTATAGCATTTGGTTACCCGATACCCAGTTAGAGTCTGAATTACCTAGAAATATTTGAACTATTAGCTCGAGCTTTGTGGTCACATCTTTTGTTTCCTCTACATAATATTCAGAGCTACATTTCTTGAATTTCAGTGTAACAATGCAATGGTTGACCTTTTAATCTGATTTGATGTACAATACTGAAAACATCGGATCACTTTGCAGGGCTTTGCTTTTAAACATCTCGAGCATTATTAAAGTACTACTTAAGCTTTTAAGGAATTATAAATTAAAAACCTATTGTTCCATCAATTTGCTTCACACACTTAAAGAAAATCTCCCAACCCCAGGTATTAGTGCACTGCAGTAACAGTAACAAGATGCAGAACCGGCACATGGCAGGGCAAGTTCCCCACAACTCCAACATAATGCCAGGTATGCACGGTGCGGTACCAGGAGGACCCGGCCACCACCCCCCATCTCAAGCTCCACAGCCTGGCATGATGCAGATGCATCCCGGACAGATGACCCAGGGAGACCCTGGTGGCCCGGGTATGATGGGACCAGGGATGGCTCCGGGTCCCGGGGGTGTGCAGATGGGTATGATTCAGAGAAGACAAATGTTCAGTAACCCTAATGTTCACCCTGGATCTCCTCATGTTCAGTCTACTGGGGGACCTGTACCTGACGAGGACCAATTGTATGCTGTGAGTATTTTATTATAGTAGCGAATAATAATGCAGTGATGATATTGAAGTTGGATTGTTAGGGTGTAAGATCGTTTAATAGTTTTAATTTTTCCCGTATAGTTATATTCTTTCAAAGAAATGTGACAAAGTATAACCATACATTTCTTTCTTGATTTGCGAATCAAATCACGAAGTTGGCCGTATTCCAGAAAATGTGCACAGTTTAAATCTCTCCTCAAATCTCGTTTTGCATTTCAGATGAAGTTAGCGGAACTACAGAAGAAGTACATAGTCCCGCTCCAAAAACTAAAAGAAAAGAATGCCCAGAAAAAGAGCGGTGAAATGAAAAGAATAGACGAAGTTCTTGACGTTCTCATGTCATCACGGAAGATAAAGATGGATAACCTAGTCAGCATAGAGTCAGTTCTGTTCAAGCTGTTTACCAACAAGTCGTCCAGTAGTGGGGACTCTGGTTCCGTTGAAAGACCTCCAATGTCAGCTGATAAAGCCGCGCACTTAGCTGCTGGTGAGATTCTTATAATGCTCACTTTATCACATTTTATTGCACTTTATCACACTTTATCACACTTGATCGCACTTTATCACACTTTATAAAATCTCATATTTATTTATCACGCCTCATTACAAATACCAGGGGTGCTCAAATTCCCTGATTTTTGATTATCTCATTGTCTATTGATTTTGTCATTTTATCGTCTCATCGAGTAAGTCACCAGACTTACACTACTGGACATTTAGATTTCTAAACGCTCCATCCCACAGGAGGCTCAGTTGACAAAGCAGCACAACTAGCTGGTAACGTTAGAAACACCCACTTCTGTCAGCCCCTGATAGACGGTGTTGCTAATCACGCCTGTAACTCTTCTTTCTTTCATACTGTCAGGTGAGCTTTACATTGTAACCTAGACGTCTTCTTAGACCCACTTAAAACACTCAGTTAATCTTTGTGGATTGCCCAGCTGTTTATTTTATACTTTACGCAACACGTTGAGATAGTAATTATACCATTTGCTAACTAAACCGTTCATATTATGACTTTCTTCATAATATCACAAATAGTTCAGCATTTTCTTTGTTCAATTAAGAACTGATGGAATAAAAATATCATAATGATTTTAATCAAATCAAAGTTGGAATAAAGGAAATTATTTTCATAAAATAATCTCGTACTCTATCGAATATAATGCCACTTATACAATATTTACCATGCTAGTTATATCCTCCTTACAAGCTTTAACATCATTCTGGGTATTTTAACTTGTTCTAGAATCAAATCAACAAACTTAATAAATTAATCGGTGATAACTGTGTCTTTAACTCAAAGTATATCATAAAAGATACTGCCACAAGTTCCCTCACTATCAACTAAACAAACAAGGTCCATAATCCACATTACCAAGGCGGGTAATCACCCAGATGATCAACAAACAGTCCGTTCGTTTCCTGAGTAGCATTCCTTATAGCATCTCTAACTCCCTCAATAGACTCCACCACAGGTACCTCAGCTTTAAGTTTACCTCTGCTGCCCATGTCAGTGGCAGCCCACCCGGGGCAGACTGCTAGTGCTATCACCCCCTCTCCTCCGTACTGCGCTGCTAGGTTCCGTGCTGTTCTATTAATAGCCACCTTGCTGCACCTGTAATCGTACGCTCCCCCTATCATGAACCTCTTGTGGCCTACAGACCCTGATTTGGAGCTCATGGACAAAATTTTAGTTTTGTTTGGGTTTCTGGATGCTGCCAGCCTGATAAGCTTTATCAGACCTTTGGTGAGCAAGGTGGGTCCTATAAAGTTGTTGTTATAAGTTCTGTGCAGTTCAGACCCCTCCACAGTCTCAATCCCCTCACTGCAGTAATGTGGCATGATCCCCGCGTTGTTCACCAGCAGGTTCAGCCCCCCATCTCTCAGTTTATCCTCACAAAACTTCACCACATTCTCTCTGTCCACCTCGCTGGTAACCTCTAACTTTACTACTGAGAACTTGATCTTATCAGTAGTGTTCTCCTGGATTAGTTGGTGAAGCTGTTTGGCGTTGTCTGGACTCCTACAACAGCAGATGTAGTAAGCGGAGCCTTCTGATTGGTGTGTTGCTGCTACACATTGTTTGATGAACTCGTATCCCAGACCTCGGTTAGCCCCTGTTACCAGGCACGTCCATCCTAGATCTATCATGGTTCTGTACTAGGGGAATGTTCAGCGTTATTATCTTCTTCATAATCAATATTTGTGGGAAATATCTGGGAAATGTTTAGCATTATCTTCACGGTCAATGGCAAATAAAAATCAGTAGTTCCGCAATCAGACAAAGGCGATTAGATACGTAAAACAAAGTGTTTACTTTAAACAGCGTATACTTGGAGAGACCGACGTCTGACAATGGTAAAGTTATCAGAAATATCTTAAGATTACAGAACAACAGATCACTAAGCCAGTAAACTAGGTTAAGCTGTCCCCACCCGCGCTTGTTGACTGAAATAACGCTACTGAGCCCTTAAGTATTGCTTTTGAAAACAATGGAATCATGGACCACAATCCACGTTTCTCCCTCTATTTCGATCAGTAATCCTGTTAAAGATAACCCGAGCCACAAGTAGTATAACTTTCACCCATCCCACCTGAACAATGTGCGCGTTTGTCAGGGTTTGTTTAGTGTAAAACACACCATTCTTTGAAACAAGAATCTGATTATATAATTAGCTGGAGTAACAGGAGTCTGAAAACAGTTGTAGCTCTCTCTTTCTTCTTGGGGTGTTATGATGATACTATTGTGAGGTTTTGAGAAGCTTCTGGTGTGGTGACTGAAACCATTTAACAAGTTTAACATAGCAGGAATCACGATCAAATATGTGGGGTTACTATTCTAAATATGTGGGGTAACTATTCCATCATGCCTTAGACCGTGCATGATTAGAAATTCTAGGAGTTAGATGAGTTCTATTATTATTTTAGTGAATAATTGATCTGACACTTTCCATTATAACACGCGGTTATTCCAGACGTACATTTGGTTTGGGACTGTACTCGTTACACGGGGATGTTACCCAGTATCCGCCAGCTAAGAGGCCTAAGAAGGGGGAGCCATGCACACTTGAGATTCTGGACAGTGAGATAGAGCGCCTTCCTACTGTATTCAAGGTGTGTAATGGTAGTGATTAATGATGAAGTTTAATAAAAACCACTATTATATTTAATACCAACACGTGTACGTTATACAATACAGTGCGGTGAAGGTTGTTTTGCAAGATTTCCTTAGATATCAACTTCAATGGGAACATCGATAACAATCGTTAGGATGTTTTGTTAATTTGTTTGTTTTATTTGCTATGAGATTTTGGTATACGTATATCATAATTTGCAGATAATCTTTTTCGCGTGAGCTATTTAACGAACATTAATTGTCTTTCTAGGCACAAGTAAAGAACAGGTCCCGAGGGGATCTGGAAGTTGAAGTGAAGCACATGAAACACAGTATAGTACCTTCTCTCTGTGTGGTAGTACCCAAGAAATACCCTGAACAATCGCCCTGGGTAAGTTTCATCATTAAGTTATTAACTTATGATATTATATTATTGTCACTTTACTTTACGTTAATTTAAATTGGTCGAGTACAACTATTTGACTGACATACATTTCTGTACTCTGACAATTTGTGTGACCCCTCCCAACAATGTTGTTACGTACCTACATAACTGTGCTTATATTTAATGTTATATAATTCTAGATCAGAATTGCAGGAAATTCCTTTTCCAAGCTCTAGGAACTGAATTCCTGAGTGTATTGTAAATGTATAACACTGATAAAGCGAATTTGATACTGGATAATTGTCAAATGACAACTGCATTGTCATGATATAAAGTTGCACTCGGGCTGCTAGTTGCATGTTTCCGGTTGTTTTTCCAGTAGACAGTAGTTTTAGTCAGTATTATTATGTACTAACAAGCTTCACATAGTCCTTGACACTAAACAAAGTGGCACAATGTTTGTAATATCTTACAATAAAGATTTAAGCTAAAATCTATCATATCGAATTACAGGTGAAAGGAACGAGAAATAAACTAGGATTAGCGATTGAGAAAGATCTGGAAAACAATCTAATAGCAATGTCAATGAACTGCACTCTGACGGAGATCTTACTGTATTGGGAGGTTTGTATCAAGAAGTGTTTGAAAAACAGAATATCTCGTGTCAAGGGAACATGAACATTGGAACGGATGATATAATTATGTTATCACACTTGATAAGTTTGAATGCTAAAGGATGACGACACAATATTTCAGATGGTATTTTGATTAATATAAAAACATTGATTGTATTCCATCATGAGAATCGCCCAGGGTTGAATAATTGATAATCTAATGTACCCTTATTTGAAATTTAAGATTCGTTCTGCATTGTTATTATTTGATGGATTTTGTCAACTAAAGTGTGTTTTTATTGAGTCTAAATTGATCTATTATTGCTCCTAATAATAAACCAAAACCACAAAATTTAAATCTGTTTCATTCAAAATTCAAATACATACAACAGTTTTATAACAAGGACCTAATCTCGACAATCATTGTTAGGATGACAGACGACCGTATGACCCAACGGCTTGCTCCTAAGGATCAAACCCTGCAAGAAGCTTACGATGTACCAGCTAACTTCTTAGAAATAGACGTGTGCAACCCTGAAACGCACGGCATCGCAAACAAAAGATATACTGACTACGAAGTCAGACTCAAGGTCAGCTCATAATAACAGCTAAAACCTTACTTAATAATATCTACATTAGAGTTGAGATAATGTTATCAACTCCAGGTTTACTTTTTGTTAGACTTCATAAGAGGTTCTTGAAGAAAATAGTTTGATAAGTCCGACGGGGAACGTCTCCAATATTTCATTTTACTGTTAAGAGTGTTGCGGTTTTTTCTGCAGAGTTCTCGAATGCCATACATTTTCTGAAGTTCTAGGACTTTATCTGGGTCCCTAGAGGTAGCCTAAAACGATGGTCAGGTTATAAAGTTGTTATCAACTGACTACGGCTGCAATAATTGATAAACACGATTTTACTATACTTTCAGATTGAAATGAGGAGTTATTTGTTATCGCTTTTAATTGAAATATTACAAAGATTCAAGAATTGACATACGTTTTTAATTACCATACACAATTTCTGCACGGCTAAATGTGGTAAATTTCGGGGGTTTACTGTAATATGTAATTACCTCGAGTCAGGTTGGCCCCCATCTCGAAATACTCACGATTCGTTGACAATTACTGAACTTAGATTAGCTTGTAAAAATGTACTGTAAACTTACAGAGTTACAGACAGATTATGGAAATACTAAGAGAGAAAAGCAAACCCTTAATACAGCCCTAGTGCTTAAGTAATTTGCTTTTCCCGATTAAGTAGTTGAATAGGGCTAAGTTGAACTTAAATAATATACATAATACAGTATTATTATTAATTATTGTTCTTTTTGACAATGAATCCAAAAATCTTCATATAATTATTTTAAGATGCTTACCGCATTTTCTACACTGGGGTTGTTGGGACCAGGTACCAGTATGCTGACACGTGATGCTTGTTTCGCCCATCAGAACGTAGCGCTTAGGTCTGACACACGTGATGTTAACAACTGTGGTCTCCGGAGTTGTTTCGTCCAGTGCAGAGGGAACTTTAAACTTCTCATCTAGCCCTTTCTTTTCACAGCGCCCCGCTGAGAACATTTTGAAGGGTACAAACACTGGATTTTGAAGGGTTAATCAACTATCTTGAGGAAGTGTTTGTAATAAGCTTCAGATAGAAACAAACTTCGTTTTAAAAAGGCCACGATGTAGAGAATTATTTGTTCATTACGCTTGTAACGGCTTACTCGAGGGTTAAAGTTTCAGATACAGTGGACACTGGACAGTTTACTATTAAATTGCACAGTAAATTAAAAATTAACAATACAAGGTTATCTTACCACAGGCAGTTCTGTCAGTATTTGGTGTCGATCCAGCGTCACATGCCTCACAGCTTGTCATAGTATCATCCCTATATGTTCCCTCTCCACACTGCAACTGCTCTGAAATTTTAACATTTTAAATGGCAACGGGTTCTAGAAGATACGAAAATCGTTATAATATATAGAGGTCTACAGTTCAGATGTGTTACTATAACATTAGATAAACGATATGACGTGACAAATTAGATATCAACGCGTTCCACGGTTTTTTGAGAATTATTACCACCCAGACTCTTACGTTTCTTGTATTCTCGATCCACGAATTTGCCTTCTTGATTATAAGCCCTATATAGCAACTTATCCTTATCCTGTCTTAACCCTTACCCTATCTTTGCCCTTCTATGTAATATAGACATAATCATCTCAGCTCGGTTCTTGTTAACAATTCTTACCACATTTTGTTCTCCCTGGGTTTCGTTCCTGGCCAAGTTCACAAGTTGTACACAAGGCTGCTCCTTCTGAACTGATCGTGTTATCAGGACATTCTTCACATGTGTTCATCGCAATGTTCCTGTAGCTTCCAGCTGGACATGACTCTGAAGAATTAGGAAATCTTTAAGCAGCAATTCGTTTGAACTACCTTATTAAGAAGTTATTGTGAATACAAATATCCTCGGTTTTCATTCTATAGCACAGTTAATTCAAATTTAAAACTTATCCATAATATCAAATATACGCTTTAAAGTTATCTTACCACAGGCAGTTCTGTCAGTATTTGGTGTCGATCCAGCGTCACATGTCTCACAGCTTGTCATAGTATCATCCCTATATGTTCCCTCTCCACACTGCAACTGCTCTGAAATTGTAACATTTTAAATGGCAACGGGTTCTAGAAGATACGAAAATCGTTATATAGACCTACAGTTCAGATGTGTTACAATGACATTAGATAAACAATATGTGACAAATTAGATATCAACGCGTTCCACGGATTTTTGAGAATTATTACCACCCAGTTAAATGGAAAACTCTGCCTTCAGTGAGAGTGATTTCATTTGGAGAATAGTAATTGTTAAAATTATGATCACGAAATCACGAGCTTACGAGAGAAGCAGCAAGTTGGCTTATTTATAAATTAAAGTTAGTTTTATTTTTTCAGCTCAATGCTTGTTGTCATTCAGCTATTAGTCACCTGGTTGTGTTCTGTAGTAATCAGATGCCTTGTCGCTGGACCAAAACGTTATCTTTGTCACGTCTCTGTTCCAGATAGTGCTCCAACTTCTGTCACTACACTTCGATAGCAGTTTGTTGAGCACCTCCACGTCGTTACAGTGTATCACTAGTCTAACACCTGCAGTTCTGGTTAGAGTGATACGCCAAACCTTGTCAGTAGGAGAGGGGGGATTAACAGGGAGGTTAGTCCAGGATGTGGTTCACCAGCTAAGATGGTATTTTGGAGTAGAGGTGAAATGGAGGTTGACTGCTCCTGCATGCTCTCCCCCAGCAGAGTAGAAGTACACTACCACCAAATCGTAACTCCCCAGCACACTATTAGTCTTAACTTCTAAAGGTGTCAACTCAAGATCCCACTCTATTTCCACCCCACGTTCGACTGGTAACCAACCTGTTAATTGTATGTTTAACTAATGACTCCTGAGCAACGATTTATATGTTAAATAAATAATTGTAACTCATTATTTAAAATATTTCATGTTTTTTACACGAATGTATCTTCTAATAAAGATAGGTGCGTGAGACATACTACATATTATTTTACATTTTTGGCTATATTATAAGAGAAATAATCTATTAGTTTATTAGGGATTGTTCACATTTTATTACGTAAGCTAGCACTCTCGGAAGTACAAAAATTTCAGTGCGAATAACTTAATAGTCGCTATTGGCACTGCTAGTAGTAATGTCGTAATGACAAAGATATGGCATAAGAACACTATGGCATAAGGGGTCTAGCTTTAAACTGGTTTAAATCATATCTTAAGAACAGGAACCAGTTTGTATCAATTGGATCCTCTGAATCCTCAGCCAATCAAATTATTTACGGTGTACCCCAAAGTACAATTCTAGGACCTCTCCTTTTTATAATTTACAGGGTGGGCCAAAAGTCAGTACCCATACGTTGGCCTTAATAGCTCCGCCGTGTTTTATATTTGAGAGCTGTTGCTTTGCAGATGGCATACTGTACTTACTGGTTCGAGGATTCCGTCGTCAAAATTTGAAAATTCGAATATTTTAGACCACGCCCATTCAATATTAAAACACCTATATTGTTTTCTCTGAACATACTGAACGCCTAATTTTTTTCAGAGACGGTAGATTATCAAATGTTGCATATATGATCTGAAAACATGGGGCAAAACGGATTAGAAATGACGAAGTTATCAAGCATTTTCTGTATCTCGTTAACAATATTGACTGGGTGATTATGTGACACCGTGACACGACACCTTAATTGGGCACCCTTAACAATTCCCATAATGTTTAACGGGGTAGTTAACGGGGGCACCTTATCACGTGATTAGGTAAACCAATCACCTAATCACACGTAATGAATAAACTCGTTATGCTTCATATCTCGGTCATCTGAGAAGCTACAGTTCTAATTCTTTCAGGACAAACGTAATTCGAATGGCCAAACACAATTCAATAACATTTAGCTTGATCCGACTATCCAAACTATCAAATAAATGTGAAAATGAACCTCCATTTGAAAAAAATGAACGCGAATATTTTTCGAGTTGACAAATTCCTCGAACCAGTGGTGGTACTAAGTCATACCAGAAAGAAGTATTTAAATTGGGCACTCAGTGACTGAGCTATAAAGGCCAACGTATGGGTACTGACTTTTGGCCCACCCTGTACATTTTAAACTATCTGCCTCAAATATCAGAATTCAGAAATAGCTAAATTCATCATGTACGCAGATGATGCAAACATCTTCCTAACAGGAGAAAACATAAACGAGGTTTATGATATGCTCACAATTCTTAGCGATGTCTTAGGTAAATTGATAAATTAGTAGATAGCAACGGTTTAGCTCTAAACCTTTAAAAAACGAATTATATAATCTTTTCACGGCAAAGAAACCTAGTTTTTATCGCGATGTAGTAGTTTTAAGGCGTTAGTGCCGAGTAATGCCTCTGGGTAGTGCTCCTCAATCAAACTTAAAAAATTCTTGCCTCTGGAAGCACATTTACAAATATATCACTGCTTTGTGCAGTCTCACCTTAATTACTGCTCACTCGTAATGGGTCTTAGAGCAATACTACTTGGTTTCGTTAATTACGGATGGTACTCCACCAGCAAGTACCAAGTCCGGTTTCTATGTACACAAAATATTAATATAACAGTTCATACACAAAAATATAGATTCCTTCATTGGCTGCTACTCCAGATGTTAAAAGGCACGCCACGGTAAAGATCATCATGTTCTTGAAAAGTGAGGTATTTTCTACGGACCCTATTTATAATTCTACTCCGCAAATATAACTGGCTTACAGATAGTTCAACAGAAGCAAAGGTCAAAGATCGATTTGTGTTGTGGGACCTCAAAGCAAGGAGCCAAGCAAGTATTAGGTTTGGGTCACGTGTTGTTGACTCTAAACCAATCACAAAGTATCATAACTTTTAACAGGTTCGGATTAGTGGAGTAAATGAGTTGTTCTTGTCGATACCAGAGCAGTACTCAGAGGAATTGTCATTATTATCTTGGTTATTCATGAGTGGAGCTAGTATATTCACAATACAAATGCCCGTCCAAATTCAAACAACGCA